GTTGTCTAATTTATTTAAGGCTGGTTAACAGAGACAGTGACATTCCAGAGCCTGATGTTTAATTGCCTGTGTTTGCTGGGAATGCAGACAGGGAGGAACAAGACTGCATTCCTGGTGAAGGGAACAGGAGGAGAAATCCCCGCCAGCCAGCCAGAACTAGGAAAAAATCCAGCCAGAACCAGGGAAGAGCCAGCCAAACCAAAACCATCCAAAACCAGGGAACAACCAACCAAACCAAAACCATCCAAAACCAGGGAACAACCAACCAAACCAAAACCAGGGAACAACCAACCAAACCAAAACCATCCAAAACCAGGGAAGAGCCAGCCAAACCAAAACCATCCAAAACCAGGGAAGAGCCAGCCAAACCAAAACCATCCAAAACCAGGGAAGAGCCAGCCAAACCAAAACCATCCAAAACCAGGGAAGAGCCAGCCAAACCAAAACCATCCAAAACCAGGGAAGAACCAACCAAACCCTGCTCCAAGTAGGAAAACTCCAAGGACTTGCACCTTGTGATGTCCTTGGAATCACCAGGTGGAGCTGAGGAGTGGCTTCAAGGCAGCCAGGACAGAGGAATCAGCTTTGGTCATTTTTGGAATTGCCATACCCAGCCTGAAGCCTCTGTAAAGCAAAAGCAGGAGATTTTGGGTGGTTATTTTGTCTCCTGTGATTTATGGAATTTTCATATCTGACCTGAAGCCTCTGTAAAGCAAAACCAGGAGATTTTAGGTGGTTGTTTTGTCTCTTGTTTACCTGAGAAATACATGCAAAGAAGTGCAATATTTTTGTAGGGTCTGTTTGAAAATAGTTCTTTTATCAACACTGTATTTTGGAGTTTTCCCTCTCTGTTTAGTTTCAGTATTGATATTGCATAAAATCTTGCATTTTACTCTCTGAGCCAGAGTTATTATATATTTTCCCCTGTTGAATATTTGATAAGTTCTCTTGGGTACTGATTTTCCTCCTTTCTAGGATAACATATTATGGAAATTGTTTCACCTGGTGTTCTGTTTAAAGCCTGGTTTTAGCATGATTCAATTTGGTTTGCATTATATTCCATGGAGTTCCTTGGCAGTTCCAAGTTATTCCAGAGTGTTGGTGTGGGGGCTGACTTTGGCTTTTCCTCCTGCTTTTGCTAAGTGACCTTCATAGGATCTTCTCGGGGTATTTGCATTTAAATTTATTAGTAGTTGGCCAAACTTCCTACTGATTTTTCCTGAGATGAATTATTTGGATGATTGGAGTGATCCACTGGGGTCAGGACCACCAGATTTGGAGTCTTCACACTTCAGGATCAGCTCCAGATCATTTGAAGTTGGTGCTTGGTAAGAACAAAACAACATTGTACACATTAAAAAAAAATATAATGAATGCTTTTCCCATCAGAGTGAGAGATTCCCAAACCATTTGCTCCTCTTGATGAGTTTGTTGTGCAGGAAAGATTGGAAAGAGCAGCAAAAAATGACAAGTTCAGCGATGTCTCATCTTGGGATATCCTGAGGTAGAATAAAGTCGTGTGATCACATGGAAATCTAATTCTCTCCTCAGGAACTCTGCACCCTCCAAAAGCCCCTTTGACCTGAATTTTCCTGTAATGTCCATGTAGGTATAAATAACCCATAGGGTTATTCTGCAGCCTATGGCTTCTCACCCAAAATCTAGGGCAAAGACAATTATTAGCTATTAATTAACTGTGTGTTATTTCTCCAGTTCTTGGGTGGAACTGCTGTAAATTCACTGGAAAGTACATTGTATGTGAAATCTTAAGCTGTTTTATAATACCTAAATGGCACGTTTTGAGGATAATGCACATTTTTCAGCTCCCCTGATTAATAATTAATTTGGTACAGGGAGTATTTTTAGGAACATGAATATGTTCCAGGTCACAATCATGATTTCAGCAATTTCTAGGAAATGCTTTTAATTTACTGGCAAAGGAAGTTCATACCACCTCAGTTAGTTACTGTGGGTTTAAATAATCCCAAACCCAGAATGGTTGGGGTTGGAAGGGACTTTAAAACTCCTCCAGTTCCATCCCCTGCCATGGACAGGGATGGAACTTCCTTAATTGAGTTCCCAGCTTCTTGCTAGAGGTCCCTGGTGACCAGGATTCAGATGGAGCTGGAATTTTTTCCCCTGGCATTGCTGAAACGTTTGGATGAGCCTGAGTGTGATATTTCCTGGGTTTAATGGATGGCTTTAAATATGTGCATGTCAAGTGGTGTTTTACTGCAAATCCTTGGCTACAGTAGGGAAAAATTCCAGAGCTTCTCTGGTAGGAAAAAGGAAAACTCAGGAGTAAAATCAAACCTGCCTAATGGACCAAAGAAATGAAGGTGCTGCACTGGAGATGGCATGAAAAGCCAATATATTGGCAAGTCTGGGGTAAAAAAAGGAGGAAAACATAATTACCTGGTAATGATACCAAATTAATGCAGCTGGGTGGTTTATTTTGTGTTGTGAGCATTGGAATGTTGGGTGTGCATAAAGCTGCTCCTGGCTTTTATTTGTGGTGTTTAATGGTTTAAAATTCTGCAGTTACTCAAGGCTGTGTGGGAGACTGAGCTGTGGCCATGGGTCTGATTTTGCCTAAAACAACACATGAAATCTAGTATTAACGGGAGCCTTATTTGTATAATTTATGATACAAATAATATAATTTAAATAGGTGATTATTTCACGTAATCATACAAATACAACAAATTTTGTAATGTATTTTATAGTATGTATTTAAAATATATAATTATTATATATAATGATATAAGGGTAATTATGTGATATAATTTATAGTATATATAATGTAATATAGAATAGGATGCAGAATATAATTGTATAAGATCTCTAACATAATCTATTGGCTAACTAAAAGATAAAACCCTGCCACAGCCCAGCTGATTGATGCCCAGCAGCCTCAGGCTGGGAAGAGGTTTTCATTGGAAGTGACAGGTGCCCCAAGGTTTATTTAGGACAAGCTCAGCCTTGTCCTGGTTAGTTTGATAATGTTTTCCTTATGGATGTTCCAGCAGTGCATTTCCTGCGTTAGGGCCTTGTGTTACACCAATATTCCTGTCTGGGCTGCCTCAACTACAAATTGGCTGAACAGCCCGTGACACTTTTTCAATATTATTACATTAAACCAAGTGGATTTTGATTGATAACCTAATATTCAACTAATGCAAAACATCAATCATGGCAAGTATATTAATTATTTAATATTGCAGCCTAATTCAGGAATCGATGTGCTGCAGGAGGGGAAGGGAAACTCGCTGTTCCCAGAAGGTTTGAGACAGGGCATGATTAAAAAACAGCCCCACCAAGCCCTGCTCTGCTCCCGTGTGTTGGTTCGATACAAATCTTTATTCATTTGCCAATAATCTCCTCACATTTTCCACTTCAGGACCTTTTTTATCAGTTTTGAGGCCTGGAATTGAATTAGGGCTGCTTTCAGCACAGGCTGAGGGAGGTGCACGGATATTGATGGCAGGGATGGGGCTGGCCTGGGAGCTCCTCCAGCCCTGCATCCCAAAGCAGCTCCACCTTCACGGGCCAGGTGGGACCTCCCAAGGGATCAGGGAACATGGAATGCTTTGGGGAAGGGAGATCAGTCCCATCCATCCACCCCTGCCCTGGCAGGGACACCTCCCACTGCCCCAGGTGCTCCAGCCCCAGTGTCCAGCCTGGCCTTGGGCACTGCCAGGGATCCAGGGGCAGCCCCAGCTGCTCTGGCAATCCCAGCCCAGGCAGGAATTCCCAATTCCCAATCTCCCATCCATCCCTGCCCTCTGGCAGTGGAGCCATTCCCTGGGTCCTGTCCCTCCATCCCTGTCCCCAGTCCCTCTGCAGCTCTCCTGGAGCCCCTCCAGGCCCTGGCAGGGCTCTGAGCTCTCCTGGATCCTCCTCCTGTCTCCAAAATTGGGATAAATCCTATAGGGCTGAGAAAAAGAAATTCTTCTTTCAAAGTCAAAACAGCTAAAGTATGTTTTTTTTCCTCTCACTTCATTAATGGGGCTGAGAAAAAGAAATTCTTCTTTCAAAGTCAAAACTGCTACAGTTTTTTTCCTCTCACTTCATTAATGACATTTAAATAGGAAAAAAACTGCATAGCAGATTTTTGGAAAAGCTTTAGGAAATGATAAATAATTAGCAATTTTAGTACTAGTAATTAGCATTACTGTAGTGTTAACTGGTTCCCTGCAGTCCTCACGGCTGGTTTCTCCTTGTTTGCTGTGGGAATGACCCACCTTCCTGTAAGTAGAATTGGAATTAGGTAGAACCTGGAGCTGGTGGGAGCAGGAATCATCTCCTTGTCCAGTGAGTTGGGATTTGGGGAATTTTTAATTTTTTCCATTGGATTTCATCTTTTTTTTTCCATAGCAGGATATGTTAAGGATAAATTTTCCCTCCGAATTTTTGGGTTTTTTACTTGGATACTTTGGTCTATTTTTTTTCAGCTGCCTTTATGTAAAATTCTTCCCATTTTCTGTCTGTACATTTGTTCTTTTTGCAGCTTTCAGGAACTGGATGCCCAGCTCCAGCATGGCTGCCATGAGCCATGGAATTAATGACAATTCCTTCTCTCCATCCCCCTGGAAAGGGGCAGGGAATTTCGTTGTGGGAGTGGTGGCAGGGCAGAACCAGGAGGCACCAAACGTGGATTTGATCAACAGCCCCGTGCCCTGGCCTGGCTGATCCTTTCCAGTGTAAATAGTGGGATAATTAGATTTAAAATGTAGATTTAAATGTGTGTCCTGTGGCATTGCTACAGTTTGTAGCAATTTCAGGGCAGGTAGTGTCTGAGGGTTGAATTCTGTCATTGAGCATTAGGATAATCAATTGTTTTAATCAATTTTTTTAGGTGTTACAGGTAAATATATGTATTAAAATTAAAAATTTGACACACTGGAGAAATTACCCAGCTTTGCCATTTCAGAGTTAAACAGAAATCGTTGCAGACAAGGGTTTAGCAACTATTTAAAACTTTTGTTCTTCTCTTACAGGGACTCTGCAAACATCAAAGCTGGATTAGAACATCTGGTAAGTTTTAATTTTCTCTTGAACATTTGCATCATCTTTGATATCTGCATTCCAAATGAACACTTTTGAATGAGCTTTGAATACCTTGAATTGAGAAAGTCAACCATTTCCCAGAGGGTCAGGCTACTGTTATTATGTGAAGGCACTCACATTTTCATTTATCTCCCCATTTCAAGGGAATTTTAATTTTTTTAAATTACTTTTTTTTGATGTCGAGATGAAATAAACTGGACTACAATCCTTGGATTGATGATTGCCTTAATTATAAACAAAAATTGTTTGGTGTTGGATTTTTGGCATATCCTGATCTGAAAACAACAAACTTGTGATTAAAAAAAAAGTAAAAAAAAAAAAAAAGAGCCAGGGACACAATCAAATATTGCATGCATAAATATGGTGTGTTTGAGTCATTTGGAGGCTTTGAAAGAAGTGCACAGCTTTGTGTTTTCTCTTGTCTTTGCTTTATGAATAATGGATCGACTTAAATTCCATTCAGGGCTGCAGTAGGAAATAATAATTGAGGTGCAAAATATTTCTGGTTTAAGTAAACATATTAAACCCACAAGTGATGGCAAGCCAGGCTTAGCATTAAAAACTCATCAGTTGATCAAAACTGGGAAAAATAAAATCTTGTCACAAGTCAGAAGCTGGTTGAGCCTCACATGTTGCTACCAGCAGTCAGTGGAACATTAAATAGTTGATGTAAAGTGATTATTAAATCCCATTAAATGAAAATATTCACTATTAATGGCACATCCATCCTGAGAAGGGTTTAATTTTTTCATGGAATATCTAAATAATCCCTGCTGTTCCATAGTGCTGTGAAAAACATCGTGTGTCTCCTTGGACAGAATTGCTTTCCTCTTGCTCCTTCCTCTTTTGGGAATCACTGGGGAAGGATTTGGAGGAGCTTGGGCACCAGTATCTCCTTGGAGATCCTGGTGGGGTGGAAAGGATGGAAGTCATGGTGCGGTGGAAAGGATGGAGGTCATGGTGGGGTGGGAAGGATGGAAGTCATAATGGGGTGGAGGTCCTGGTAGGGTGGAAAGGAAAGAGATCCTACTAGGATGGAAATCCTGGCACAGTTCTCAGGAACTCCTCCTTTCTAAAGGTGCCCTGTGAAATGTGTTGGGAATCATCAAATGGAATGAAGAGCAGAGTTCTCGGAGCAGTTGGGAAATCCACCTTGGTTACTGCTTCCAGGGGTGTCTCACCTGCGGGTTGGATCCCTTAAATAAATTTTAGGAAGATGCTGTTGCCCTGATGCTGGCAGGGAGCTGTAATCCAGCACATTCCTGATTTTTCTCGTGCATTATAAAGCTGCTCCCCTCCTCACAGAGTGACCATGGCTGGGGCTTGTTCTGATTGGGGTTTCTGCCACAGCAGGAGCTGCAGGGCTGATTTATAACAACAAATATTCCCAAAAAGTGGGAAGAAAGAGGCTCTGTGGGCTTGGAGTAGCCTGGGGAGGTGGGAAGCAGGAAGAGTTCAGTGGTGCTCAGGGTTTCTCTGGGCTGGGGCAAAAGGTACTGGAAATATTCCCTGTGGAATGATGGTGCCTGAAGTGCTTTACGGGTTAACTCACAATAATTTGGAATAAAATTATCTTTGTTAAATTAATTGGCTGCTTTGTATTTAAAATCCCAGAACTGGGCAGGAAGGGATTGGATCCTTTCCCTTTTGGAAGGGATCTTAAAGATCTCATTCCACCCCCTACCATGGGCAGGGAACATTTCCCTGAAAGATTTGTCAAAAACCTCTGGAATTGAGATTTTTTTTTTTTCTGTTTTCCCTTTGATCTTAGAAAATCTGTCCTGGGAATGGGTGCTCAAGGAAACAAACTGTTTCCCAAGGCACCCACAGGTAGGAATATTTGTGCTGGAAACTGTTCCATACCTCAATATTTTGTTTATAAATACTTTTTGGACTCCAGTAAATTATAGGGTTATTCCTCTAAAGATTTAAGCCATGTGATTCCCGCTCTACTGCTTCAATTCCTGCAGCTCCAAATGCTTGGATTTTCCCACCTTAAGAGTCTTTATCTTGATTTGATAATCTGTTATTGGATCCCTTCTGTGAAAAAAAAAAAAAGGTGTTTTACAATTTGGGCTTTACAAGAGTCTGGACTGGCAGGGCACAGGGAATGGCTTCAGACTGGAAGGAGTAGGGTTAGATGCTGTTTGAAATTACAAAATAATGTGACAAACTGAAATAAAATAATCTAAATTGTTGACATAGGACATGAAGGAATAGTTTTAAATTAAAAGAAGAGGGATGTGGATTGGATATTGGGAAGGAATTCCTGGCTGGGAGGGTGAGCAGGCCCTGGCACAGGTGCCCAGAGCAGCTGGGGCTGCCCTGGATCCCTGGCAGTGCCCAAGGCCAGGCTGGGCACTGGGGCTGGAGCACCTGGGACAGTGGGAGGTGTGGGATGGGATGGGCTTTAAGGTCCACATCTTTCTTTGATCTGATCAACCAAAAAACCCCCAAACCCCAACCAAGAGCCCTTCTCCTTTATTCCGTGTTAATATTTGATCAAGCATTTATTTTAATGAAGTGTCAGTATTTGTTTCCTGGCTGGCCCTGGGTTTTCCAGGCACTTTGGTTGCAGTGCTGGCCCCTCACTGCTCGTGGCTCTCTGAGTTTCTCACCTGTGCTGTCCCAGCTCCCTGGCCCTGGGGTGGCCACCATACAGGGATGTCTGGCAGAGTCCTTGGCTTCCTAACGAGCTGTAAACCAAGCAGCCAATTATTTGTGTTCACAAACAATTAATTAACGCTCTTAATATGAGTAATTATGTTTATCTTGCTGTCCTGGCAAAATTCCATGCTGGTCAATTATGCTCTGCAGGCTTGAATTGTCTTTTCTGTTTCTCTTGAGTTGTGTCTGTTGTTCCATTCTGGGAGGAAGGGAGTGAAGGTGGGAGTGGAGAGGTTTTCCTCCTGTGGCCAAAGTGACATTTGTGTCCAGGGACATCCCAAATTTCCCTTTGGATAGGCTGGAGAGCCCCTGAGTGTCCAGCTGGATGCACCAGCTTGGGAGGTGCTTTTTGAGGAGCAGTGCTGGCTGTGGCTGTGTCCCCCACTGAGGGGACCCCGGTGTCCCCAGCCCATCAGGTGTGGGGCTGATGGAGCCTTTGGCTGTGCCAGGGTGGGCATCCCAACCATTCCCCTGGCTCAGCAGCAGCCTGGCCCTTGGAAATCCTTCCAGCTCCTTCAGGAGCTCTGGATCAGGTTCATACCAGGTAATCACACTGCAGAAGATCAATGGCTCATGAATATCCATGGGAAGAGCAGCTTGCCTGGCTCTGTGTGCCTGCGGGGGTGAAGCCCAGGCTGCTCCTCGGAGGGGCTCCGTGGGTGCCAGGATTTGGGAGAGCTCACTGCAGAGTGTGTTCAGTTCGTGTGCACTCACCACTTGATCTGTTCCTAGGTTTTGTGCTGTTAGTTGCAGATGTGAATCAAACAGCAGTGCCATCAAACCATCAGAGGCAGGGCGTTTTCGTGGCTGAATATTCAAAGGCTTGCAGCGGTTTGTTGTTCCAACAGCCACAAATTTTGTGGAAACTTTGTAAGAGAAGCGAGTTTTACCCTGTCACTTCCCATTACCAGCAGGCTCTGAAACCAGAGGCGCTCCACATAAACCAGCACTTTAATGTCTCCGTGTCTTTATTAAAAAGTAAACTTTGATCACTCTCGTTTACCGCCGAGGCTGAGGTGCCTCCCCCACCCCTGGCTGCGGTGGGGACCCCGTGACCTTCCATCCCCGTGACCTTTGTGCCTTTATTTTGCTTTCCCTTTGTCACCCCGCTCATATTTACCCCATAAATTCGTCTGACTGCCGTTCTCCGCCGTAAATTCGGGAAGGCCGGCGGGAGCGTCCCCGATTCCCGCTCTGCCGGCGGAGGAGAGCAGTGATCAGCTGAAGTAAATAAGGCTGTAAAATATAAAGAGTGTGATTTTCCCTGGCATCTGCATAAAACCCCCGGCACGTGCGGGTGTTGTTTCCAATCGCGCCGGCGGTTTGTTCGCAATTCCCGTAATTTGATCGTGGCTGATGAAAAGCTGACAAGATTTCCACAGCGCCCCATTAGATGAAAGCAGCATGAAACCAGAGGTTAATCTGCAAACAGATTTTCCTGCTTATTACTCTAATGATTCCATCAGATTTGATGTAGCAGGCTGCGAGGCGTCTCTCGGCAGCAACAGTGTGCTGGGGTTTGATCTCGGTGCTCATTAAATGATGGAGTAATTTGGGTGACCTCTGCCCAGGTGCACATCTCCTCATAATTGCACGGCATTCTGATGGGGAAATTACTGGCGAGAACCCCGAGTATTCATCCCGCTTTCCGAGTGGAAAAACTAACAAAAGAAATATTGCATTAATTTTCAAATGATGATATTACATTTAGTGCCTGGGCCCCATATATCAAAATCTGAGAACTGCTCAGTTACTCGCTGCTCTTAATCTTAATGGTATCTGTGGATGTCAAGGGCATGGAGGAAATTAAATCGGAAAGTGCAGATAGACCTAAGAAGACATTATCTCTTGATGATTGCAGTTTTGATAGGTATTTCAGTGAATTTCATTTTCGCAGAATGGTGGAAGATGAGTTAGCCACCAGATTTTCTCATTTTTCTTCCCCGTGATTTATGTGAGTTGAGTATAAAACTTTTTATGGGAGTGCAGTTACGGCGGATGAGAGGTAAATTAATGCTCTGGGTTTCCATCTCGGCCCCGCGCGCGATTGTCAGAGCTGTACATACGTAATGGGGCCCATCATTATTCAGGGTTGTTTACATTCAAAATATGTAATGAAATCTGTTCAGAATAATGAGGGAAATAAAAGTTTAGAAAATTGTAAAGGTCATGAAGTTTGAGAAATGATGCAATGCTCCCAAAATAACATTTAGGCAATATAAATTACATTATTATGCACCAACTCTGCCTTATAGAGACATGAAGATAAAGTGCTTTCGACGAGTAAAATGCTGTTAGTG